TCATTTCAGAACCAGACTGGAGCAAGACTCTGGCTTCACCAGCATGAAATAGTTATCGCTTGCAGTATTTGAATTGACACCGTGAGCCGTATCTGCATAAAAGCTGCGTGGGTGGGTCAGTGTGCGGCTTGAAGGGAGAGTTTGTGACAGTTTGTACGTTTAAGAATAGGTCTATGTATTCAAGTATCTGTACCTGTGTTGGGGGCAGACATGGCACTGTCATTCACATGCACAAACACACAGCCAAGAACAGGAGAAGTGTGTAAGAAATGGCATTTCATATCAGATTACAAATTGCAAACAGTCTCCTTAGAGAGACGGAGCTGAGTTCGTTCAGGACATTTTGCAATTGAATCCAGAATAGTGACTCCTCCTTCTAGAAAGCAACCTCTGGGGGTTTGGCTAAAAGAGAAAGCGAAGCCACAAGTCCAGCACCCTGCGCTCCCTTGCGCAGAAAATCCACAGCGCGCCCCGGGAGACGGGGCCTCTCCCACGGCGGCTCAGAGCACACCAAGTCCGAAACAAGCAGTTGCCTCCGGTCGCAGTCGGACTGCTGCCTGGAGCCGGAGCCCACAGCAAGTACTCACTCCCAGCTCTTATTGCCCGTTTAAACCGAATCATTCAGAGAGCGCGGCAAATCGCTGCAAGTTTTACACTTGTTTTCTTTTCTCTCTCACGGACCTCGGACCAGGGTCAAACACATGAAATTTTGCAATCTCACTGCAGGTTAGATAAAAACTCCTTGGTTTTGTTTTGCGGCACATAATGCCGTGCAAATCCCTATCTCAGATTGAATCAGCAGTCCTTTTTTTAAAATTTCTGGTGGCTTGTCCATGACAAATCTTCAAGAGATTCACAAGATTCGCAATGGCAGTGGGAAATTCTCGAATTTTTTTTTATAGTTAAAGGTGGTGAAGGGGCTGACTGCAGCCTCTCTAGTTGTGAGAAGAAATTCTACATTCGTGTTAAATCTAATTTCTTCCCGCCAGCCAATGAGTTAATCCCCATTCTTTACTCGATATTTGCTAACAAACCCAAAACACCAGCACCCTATTGTTAAGAAAAACGTTTTGCGTCTAATAAGATTAATTCCCCCGTTTGTCTCCACTTGCGCCCCTCAGTCGTTCGTTTCCTCCTGTCATTGCTATCAGTTTGCCAAGAGCCCACTTCCTCTACACTGTCTAGTGTTGGAGCAGTTTTTATACATTTTTTAAAAATGTCTGGCAGGTACTGAAAGGGTTACGCCCCGGGAATGTTTCAGCTCCTGAGAAGCAAATGTGTTTCCCTTCACTCCACTGGCCGTAGCAAAACCAAAGGAGGACTACCAGAGTAAGGAAAGCACCCCGAGTTTCAGAGCAACTAATTCACACCTCACCACACAATCCTACAGCCTTACTGTAACTAACCCACGAGACATGACAACGCACCACTGAATATCACACCCCGAATTTCTGGGAGCTAAAGTACTAATGATATCGATTAGTAAACCATACCATTATGGAGTATACTTCACTATTTAAAATAAATTGAATCCGGTTATTGAAGCTGCCACTGCGGTTAAAACTGAATCTAACACATTACAGTGTTCAATGAGTGCCATCTATCACATTTAGAAGCCTACACCACCTGACAAACTGTGGCTATCGGCCTTTGCAGATAGTGAGTGCGTTTCCAGTTCCAGTGAAATGTACGAGAATTGACAATGTCGAACTCATACAGTTAGTGCAGATAAACACGGAGCCTATTTCTGCACAGGATCACAGCGGGTTGGACTGCCCGTCCATTCACTCCCATTGTACCAAGTGCAGAATCCAGACACAACACAACTCCTAAACTACACAAAGCAAGAATCCAGACAGAAACATCTCCAGACCACCACCCCCCGCCAATTATTCCCAATTCTATCGCCAAGTGTACAGAATGCTGTCTGTAGGACCACTCTAGCAGCCCCCATCCTCCACAAGTAACATCCCTCCCGCAAAGGTTTCACACACGGATTAGTAAATAGGGAATTGTCCCCACGCTTGGCAGCTCGAATCCGCCTCAATGACTGAAAGAAGTTTGGGGGAAGCGGATGACAATCTGACCGCAATCAAGGTGTACCCGATCAAACAGATGTAACCCTGGTTAGAATCTGCTGTTAATGTGAACCCAGTCGTTTTCTGTGGGAATGTTGATAAGAGAGTAGTTTGCTCGGTGCGAGTGCCTTGCTGTCTGCTCCGAGCGTCTGGGAGAGAGGTTTGACCCTGGAGTGAAAGCTGGGGCCTTGAATCTAAACTCCAGGTCGTTGAATGTTGATGGAAACCTCAAGCTATATAATGTGCTATCGATTGTATTGTCCTCTGGCTGCTCTCTAACAATGTCAATCGCTGCCACAACAGCCATTATCCCCCTCTGTTATTTAAAAAAAAAACCAAAGCTCTTCGTTCACAAAGCATAAGGTTTTTAAATGATAAGAACACAGCTGAAGCGGAGCTGGGATGGCAAACGCGGTTGTCGCATTCCAGCCGAGAAATCAACTTTTTTTTTCAGTACATTCACTTCTATCAACTTTCCAAAGAGTAATCTTCTTCAATTCAAATCCTCAATCCAGAAAAATAAAACACGTCAGATCTTCTCCCCACTTGCAAGCCCGCAATCACACATTTACTCAATTTCTCACGGTTAATTTAGGCGTATTTTGTTTAGAAAGTAAAATTCGTAAATTGGCAAAATATTTAAATCATACTGGAACATGAAACGTGACCCTGCTTGAGCTTCATGACATACCGAGAAGACGGTGGAACAGTGGAACTAAAGAAGTCTAGATTTCCTTTTTAATCCCAGATCAGTACAGATCGAATGTGAATACTTGTGTGCGCGTTTACCTGAGTGTGAACTAGAGTGCGAATTGTGCGTTTGTATGTGTAAATATTTTGTGTGAAACCTGAATGTGAATGCTAGTGTATGTGAGTAATCTGAGTGTGAATCCTTGTGTTTATCTGGCTGCACTGTCATTGCAGGTATTTGTATTCGTACGGGTAGGTGCGCTTCTGAATTAATATTTGTGTCTGGGTGAATGTTTCTACCTGCGCTGCTTCATGTCCGTGAGCGTCTGAATGTGCAAGTGTAACTGTTAATCTGTGTGATTGAATGTATTTGATTGTGTGCCTGTGATTACGTGTCAAGAGTATACATCGATGTGGGTTTAACGGCATGTGTGTCAGAGAATGTGCGTGTGTTGTGCTGGGGAAACACATAAACAAAGTAGTTCATCAATAGTAAATGTTACAGGTCAGTAAGTCCACATGATGAAGGTTCGTTTCGAATGCATTCCTCAGCCAAACTAAAGAGGACGTTGTATAGGAATTGTGCTAACCAGCTATTGATCCAGTTGGCTTTAACTGTTGTGAACACGAAGGGCCAGAAAGGACGCTGTGCAACTACATTTAAAAATGGAAAGAAGGTTCTTAGCAGCCCAATTTATGTCCTTGCCAGCGCGAAGCTCTGAGAATGCTGATGTGCTGCTCGCCAATACAAGCCTTGCATGCTAAACACGCCGGCTCCGAATTCCAACCCTACTAGGCTTGGTATTAAATAGAACAAAGGAGCTAGCAGCAGGACTACCTTTACAACTTGCACACCCAAGCTGGAATGTCATGCGGACTGCTGCTATCAAATGATGCCGTCCAAACACTTCTGCAGCATGTCCCCCTCCTCCCCCTCCCCATATCTGGCCAAGAACTCGAGCCAGGTCTGTGAATTAGGAGAGAGACAGGCAAACTAGAGATGTGAGCTGGAAACTAAGTCAAGCTAACAGGGCGCACAGAGCCGCACGCCAGAACCTGTTGTGTGGTTTCGATCGCAAACTGGAAGGTGGTCAGTCTCCGACAAACCAATGCAATTTTGATATCCAACTGAATATACTTTTTTCCCTATCAACATTTATTATATTCGAAAGCAAAGTTGTAAGAAACAGATGTAAAAGTGATGTAAAATGTCAGCATATATTATTCCATAGGGAACAACTCTTGGGAAAGACTGTGTCGTCTTTTTGCAAAAAAAAGTCTCTTGAATTCTTTGAACAGTTTTAAAGCCTCCGCCTTATCCGAGGATAAACATTGTTTTCGACCAGTTTAAATGAACATTAGCAGTAACCCTTCGAGCCCCGGCCGCCCCCTGTACCCCTTGCCCCTCACACCGCCTCAGCGCCAATAGCATCCTGAGGGTTTTTAATGAATACTTATTACAGTCGAGGTGGAGATGAGGTATCGATCAAGGAACTCATGACCAATCTGAATCAACCCTGCATCCTCTTCTGGCCTTGGGATTTGAAGCAGGAACCACTAGGGCAGACGTGGAAGGGTTAATTAAATAAACGCTGTGGGGTGGAAATCTCACAGCACGTGCTGGGGGGTGAAGAGAACCGCAGAGCCACCAGGGTTCATCAATCGAGTATCCCTCTCACATCCCTACATCTATAATCTGCTTTACAAATTCCCATTCAGTTTTAGTTCATCGGGAAAATTTGCTTGCTGATTCCAAATCTTCACTTCTGAAGGATTCAATAAAATTAATTTTGTTGAAAAATGAATGGAATGAGTTCAGTTTGCATTACCCTCTGGTGGTCTTTTTGCTGTTGCTTAATGAAGAACCTGATTAATATTGATTTGAAAGATCCCATTTTTATACTAACCAAGGACCCTGACTTCACAACAATTACAAGCATTGTCCTCAACCTGGAAGTGTGATCACTCCTCACTAACATGAGAAAACCTTGTCTTTCTCTCCACAGCCACTCTCTGGTTAAGGACACCATTACCTCCCAGAACTTAACCAGATGTCTTGTAGGCATCTTTCCAAAGGGGAAATAATTATGCCACTGCAATTGTGACTTTTACCTTTGATTTGGATTTAAAAATGATGAAACCCTTCAAAAACACTCATTCATTAAAACAAAAGGTGGCTGAGCAAGTTATTATGTAGTATGTAGATCCAACTAAAGTAAACGAGAGAGTTACCTTCTTTGTTGGTACTTGCAGACTTGGCCTTTTCCCATGGTGCCATTTGCTTGTCTTCATCCTGTGGATCCATCATGGCCTTGTCATTGGGCATGTACCAGGTAGAGTTATGCTCTGCCATCAATGATTCAATGTCTATCGTGCTGATGGCAGCCTTACTAGTGTCTGTGCCACAAGTGGCCAGTTCTGTGTCCCCATTCTGGCCGGGGCACTCGGCTTTTTTGTTCTTCATGGCGAGAGGCTGGTCCTCAGATATGCTAAACTGTTGCCGCTGCAGCTGGATCTGCGCTTGCAGAATCTCCAGCGGGTGAATCTCGTCCTGGGTTGACGTGCTGGTCGGGGTGCGAACCTGCTCCATGCCTGGTGTGCCCGGGTGCCCACTGCCAGTGCTGCCAAGCCCAAAGCTGTCAGCGCCAGGCCCTGTGTTGGAGGTAGTGTTGCTGTTCGGGTGTGCATTGAGCATGCCATGGCCCATAGGTTTCTGGCCACTGAGCAGACTGTGGTCAGCTCGCTGCAGCTTGGGGGAGCTGGTCACTAACCGGGTGGTCTTGGGTATGTTGTTGTCAGAGCTCGAGGACACCTCGTCTTCATTCCCATAGTTGTTGCTGACATCATCTGAGAAGTCAACCTGAGGCGAGCTGCCATCTGATTTCGTCACACTTTGAATTCCGCTATCCAGGGAGGACATGAGGTCAGGTTGGTCAGGGAGCAGAAGGTCGTTCCCTTTTCCCCATGATGGGGAGGTGAGGGATTTATCCTGAGGGGTGCCACCTCGGTCACCAGCGTGACTAGACTGACCCTGCTGCCCTGGACTGACCCCAGGATTCACATTTTCAGCTGAGTATTTGTCAAAAAAATTCCCCGGGCTGACGTGGCCACTATCCCGTTTTCTCCGGCCTCTCCCTCGCCCCGTCTGTCCTTTGCCTTCGCTCGGGATGGCCTCCAAGGCATAGTTTGGGGACAGGTTGCACTCTGGTTGGGACGGTGGGTTAGGCCCCTGCGTGGTATTCTGTGCTGTAGATGTGCCCAGCTTGCCACTTACACTGCCAGAAACCCCCATCTGACTGTTCTGCTGAGTGCTGCCTTGGAAATACTCAGACCCATTGCCCGTGCTGCCAGTCGAGGGCCCACCAACATTCCCACCACCACCCCCACTGCTTGGCCCAACACTGTCCTGCTCAGTTTGGCTCAGTTTCCGTTTCCCTTCATTTTGGTTCTTTTTATTAAAGGTGACGTTGAGGTTCGGAGCACCTAAACTGGCAATCATGTTCTGGCAAGCCGTGGACAGAGCAGCCAAGCAACTCTGTCCATAAATGGTGTTATCCTTTGAACCGGGCTTGCTGAAGGAGCCCAGCGACAGCGATCCTATCTTGCTCAAGGAGGACCGCTGGTTGGCCTGAAATTCAGATTGGGGGGGTGGGTAGGTACCGGGTGATGGGGCCACTCCAGGGGGATTGTTGTGTGGGTTTGAGGGTCGGTTTGGCCCCCCAAACGGAAAGCCTGGTTGTCCGCCCATTGGGGTACCTTGGAAATCAGGTCCGGCTCTTCGATCAGTCGACGTGTTGGGGAGGCCCATACCCCCGCTGGGTGACTGCATCTGCGCAACATTGGCCATGTTGTTGGCAAACTGGGAGTGCATCCCAGGCGAGTGCAAACCCTGTACGTGTCCGTCACCCGGCATTCTCATTGGCTCTTGCATCCCCAGTCCATTCCCACCTGGCCTAAACAGCATACCTGAACCATTCTGCTGTAAATTCATCTGGACAGATTCATGGGGGCTGCCTTCAGGAGGCACGGCAGAGCCACCCATCCTTCTCTGAAGCATCTCGCCCGACGGGTGATGGCCAGAGAACCAGGCATTCTCCTGGCCCATCTGTGGATTCTGAGGATCGAAACCGGGCATCCTCCCACTACTTTCCCTCTCAAAGCTGGGCTGCGACATGTTTGCCACCTGGCCACTGTGCACTATGCTGTTTTGGTTAACGTCAGCATGGTGGCTGAGGTGCTGGAGTTCAGGTTGCCTCATCCTGTGCCGTTGGTTCCTCGATACCATCTGCTTGAACATCATCAGCATGTTTTGCCGCTGCTGCAGGGACTGTTGATCAGCCCCAGGATGTTGCAGAGGAGGCCCTGGGGGGAAGCCCTCAGGACCAGGTGGTGAAAACTCATTGGGAAGCCCAGGGTATGCAGAGGGTGATAGATGGTTTTCTAAACTTGCGTTGTGCATACTGTTGCTACTCCAAGTAGCACAATTGTCCACGTTGTGGTTATTTGGAAAGTCAAACCTTGGCCGCTTTGCCACATTGAGATATGGAGCATCAAAATGCTGTAGTCTCTGATTGGGCTGCTGCTGAACATTGAACATGGGGTCGCTGTAAGGGTGCATATTCCTGTTCTCTAATCTTTGAATGGGGTACTCAAAAGGAGCGTGCTGATTCGGCATCATTGCCCCAGTGTCCTGGAGACTGGAGTTCGGAGCCCCTGCCTCCGCTTGCTGCTGCCGAGGTATCGCTGGGGGACAAGAGTTCTGCCGCGCGAGCAAACCTGCCTGTTGCTGCATGAGAGGATTCCTGGCAGCCACACTAGACTCCATGCCCACCTGCATTTTTCGAGCATTCCCAAACCTTTCGTAGAACATCCCGTGCTGCTGCTGAGGGTGGATCTTGCCCAAGCTCACCAGGCCGGGAGTCCTGGGCATGGGGGCATTGGCAGGAAAGTTGCCCCCAGGCACGTGCCGGCCTGGGCCATAGTGAGGAAGCTGGGCACCAGACTCCGAGGGAGAGAACACGGGCATGTCGAAGGGCCTGGTAGGGGGGTCATTCTGGTAGTTGTACTCCATGGAGTCCACAGCTGGCTGGTTCTGCAGGCGCCTCTGTTCCAGTCCATGCGCCTCGGATGTGGAAGAGGCTGGAAGGCCATGGAAGGAGGCAGCTCGGTTGGGAGACTGGTCCAGGGGGAGGCAGGGAGTGTGGTTGGAGGACGGGGTGTGGTGCTGGTGGTACTCTGAGAGGTTACCTGGCCTCCCCACCGGTGCTGCCTGCTGTGCAAAGCCTTCGCCTGGCCCCCCTCCTCCAGCCCCACCCCCTCCCCCACCCCCTCCCCCTCCTGCAGTCTGATTCTCCCCCAGGGGGTCATAGCTGTCCCCGAAAGCATGCGGTTGCCCAGCCAAGGGGTTGCTGCTGTAGCCAGGGGTGCCCAGCAGACGTCCCCCGTGCAGGCACGAATGGCCAGGCTCGGTCCCGCAGAAGCTGCCGCTGAAGTGGGGGTGCCCGTGCGGGTGGGGGCCGCCGGGGAAGTAGCCATGGGCGGCCTGGGGCTGGGGCTGCGGCGGGGGACCAGCAGCTGCTGCTGTAGGAGGCGGCGGTGGAGGAGCCTGGGGCGGCTGGGGGCCACCAGGAGGAGGCGCCGCCGTGCTCCCCGCCGCTGCCGGAGCCTGGGGCGGCTGCAGGGCCCCGGCCCCGCCGTGCAGCTCCGAGTGCCCCCCTCGGGGGTGGAAGGCGTACGGTTCCCCGCCCAAGGACGGGTTCATCCCCAGACCCAGCATGGGGGGCTCAAGGGGACCCAGAGCCTGCTCGTCCATAGCGCTGCCACTGGCCCCGGGGAACGTTGGGCTTTTATAGTGACCCGACATAACCAGAGCAGCCTGGCTGAAGTTTCTCTCCCCTCCCGGGCCACCACCGCTCCTGCTGAACTGATCCAGGCCGAACATAACTTCCCAAAGCCCACCCCCCCCACCCCAGGTCCAACCTGATCAATACGGCATGACAACCGGGAGGGAGCCCCGAGGGCTAATTTAAATCCCAGAGAGAGGGGGCAAAAGAAATAGAGAATTTGAAAACCTCCCCAAATTAAAATCAACAAGACGAGTAAATAAGAAGAGGAAAATAAATGCGATCCCCCCCCCCTTCAGTATCCAAAGTCTAAAAGAGAATTGTTTAAAAATTTCGAAAACATTGAGGAAGAAAGTCACCCTCTCAGATTCACATTGTGATTCTAAACACACTCTCTCTCTACAATGACAATTTCACCCTTCATATCCTCATTATTTTGTAGTAGTTGTTGCTGGTTTTAAAATAAATTCTTGGGTTTAGTCATCAATTCTTAATTTTCTCTTTGTTTAACACCTCCCTCCCTCCACTACCAGCCCCCACCCCCCCATTCGCCGGGAGAAATGAAGTCCCCGGGCGCTGCTCTGATCGATCAAGGGAGAGGGGATGGTGGGGGGAGCTGAGTTTCCCCCCTTGATCCAGCGACAAGTGCCCAGGAACCAGGCGGTGGACAGGGCGAAGCGGACGGGAAGGGGTGGGGAAGAGGTTGGGGGTGGGGGGCAGTTGTTGAGAGCTGGAAAGGGAGGCGCTGGGACACTGCACCCGCTGCCGCCGCTTACAGTGGCTCCAAACTTGCATCCATCCACTGACTTGAGACCGCCGGAGCTGGAACCTCTCAGTTGAAACGCTCGTCTCCCTTTTTTGTTGGTCTTTCCTTTCTGTCTGTCTCTCTCAAAGCCTTTAATCCAGCACCATGTGAGAGTGAGTCTAAGCTGAGCACTGCTTCTGTCCTCTGTCTCTCTCTCGCTCGCTCGCTGTCTGTCCGTCTCTCTGTCTCGATCACTAGTGCTGGCTTGAGAAGCACTGTCTGATCTCATCCCTCGGAAAGCCAGCAACAAGTTTGATACTGCTATCTGCAATCAATTTCAGCCATTATTCTTCCACCAATCATTGCTACGCATGCTCCTAGCCAGAAGGCGGGGCTTGGAGTTAAGGTGGACTGAAGTAAACCCCCCTTAAAAAGAGAGACAAAGAGGCAAACGTACAAAAAAGGAAGCGAGCAAGAAAGGAAAAGGGGAGGGGGTGTCCTTACACAGTGCATGCAGGATCTAAAGAGCGCCGGTCTAATTGATAAGCCTTGGTTTAGCTGTCCGCATTGTAAATTAACTGCATTTAGAAAATGATTTGCCCATTGCGTTCACGCTGCGCTGTGTTCTCAAAACAGCAGTCCCCCGTCAAGTTAACAGTATTTTCCGAAATCTGTTGGTAGCGAAGGAAGTTAAAGCGGACTCCGAGAAAGCCAATGGTTTGCTTGCTCCCCGCAGCTGAGAGTTTAGCGAGCCCATTCCATCTCTAATTAAGTTCGTTCGTAACCACAGACAAACGCAGCAATGCTGTTTTATCCAGCATGTCGCGTTCCCCGTGCTGATTGTGAAAATGGTGAATTAAATCTAGTCGGAATGCAAAGGGATCTTGCTGAAGTTTGTTTTTTTAACCGAGGGTTTCATAAGAACGATCTCCTCCCGAATGAAGAGATAGCGATCCGGACAGTGCACCTACTGTCTCCACCGTCGCCATTCGGTTCAAGTTATCCCTAACCTGCCCCTGTTCTTGCCCAGATATCATTCCGATGGTTGATCAAAAAGAAAATGAACCAAAGGTGAGGGGAGGGAACCACAAAGACAAAGGTTTAAATTACACGGTTAAGGAGCCCAAGCCTCCTTAAACAACGCAGTTAGTCTTCCGGGGGGCGGGGGGGATAACGAACAATTCTGTTGTGATGCTAAAATCAATAGTGCAATTTAATATCTCCTCTTCACTTTATCAAATATTTATGCCAATAACCTCTAGTTAAAATGTTTAAACCTTTATGTGATCTGGGCGCGGGGTGGCGGGGCTTGAAGTTCATCCCGCGATTAGACTCAAGCAGAGGGACGAGGCTCCCTCGCCAACAACCCGATCATCTCCAGAGAGAGAGAGAACGGGGAATCTGGAACTCACACGCTTATACACACACACACACAGAGGATATCAGGGTGAAAATCATCGTCCCAGTTGAATAATTCCTACTATTAATACAATTAAACAGTAGTCATGATTTTAAATATTCCCAGGTTTGTTCCGTTTGGAGGGTCTTTTTAGACACAATCGATTTCTACAATGCGTTGTTAATTTCAAGTCAGTTTCACTTCAGCTGGAAAACAAAACCGATTTTTGTTAAAGTTTAGAAATGGGAGTTAAAATGTCTTGAACTGTCCGAGTGCGGGAGGCAGAGGGGGATTAATGTATTGCAGTAATTTTTTTAAGAAGAATCTCTGCTCTAGCTGTTATGGAATCCAGGGAGCTGGAGCTGGTGATTAAATATTGATTCTGTGTAATTAGTTTTCATGTGAGCCATCCGCGTGGTGATGTTTTTAGGTATTGAGTAACAGCGTCGAAATGAACTTCGACACTGAAATTATTAGTTAGGATGTGACAGGCTGCGAGAGATTTGAACGAATTTGCATTGTGATTTCAGAGAGAGGAGACAGAACGAAATCTTTCCGAAGGTAACAGAAATGAATAATTCCCCCTTCTCGTTTTCATTCCGGGTTTAAAGTTTAATGACATGTAGGAACGGCTTACAACATTCTCTGGGGCTGAAGCTGAAGCAACATATTTTATGAAATAATATTTGTGGGTGATCATCAACACAATGCAAAAGCAAAGACACAGATTATGTGTCTCTCAGGTATATCCCCCACACCAGTTATACTGCACCGGTGAGCTTTGTTCGTTATGTATATCCTTTAAAAAACATAACACAGCCCCCAGTCTGAGAAGTTGAACTGTAGTCTCTTCCTCTCGATCAAAGTTCTTTAATCCCTATTTATTTTACATTGTATTGTGCTACCTGAAGTCTTCAGTCCCTCTACATGCACCTAGATTCAAGGAGATTGCTTACGAACTCCGATTCTTCCCCCCACCCCCGCCCCCTTTTGTGTGTATCCTTAGCCAAGGAACAATTATAGAACATAATATTTATCTGGGTACCCGACTCCAGACGCCGTTTTCTCTGCATCCCCCTTCCCTTTTTTCCCCCCTCTCTCTCTCACACACACTCACACACATACACAAACACAAAGCACTTGTTCTTTGTGGTTTTGGACAAGGATGTGAAAGCTTGCACACGTGGACATTGCCATCTTGTGGCGTTGGTTGGAACAATCCAGAGTAAGCGTGCGAAAGTAGTTGTGTTCAAACATTATTTTTTTTCATAGAAAATTATGAGAGCGACAGAAAAAAAGTCAGGACAAAACTAAGACGTTGAAGTTTCATCGTTTTTATTGCCGTGTAGTTGAAGGTGTCGCTCTGTGACAGCTTGGCTCTGTTCTGTGCGATGACAGACGCGCCCGAGGGATCTTTTAAAGGGATGTTGTCTCATTGCTGGCCAGCGATATCAGACGTCGAATTTCCTGAGGAACACATCTGTACGTGCCCGGTTTCTAAAAATAAATCCTCCCCCTTGAGTAGGCCCACATGGATACCTCACTATTTGGTTAACAAACCAGGCTAACTGGGCTTAAAATAAAAACAATACTGCAGGGATAGATTTTATTCATCCCAGAGTCCAGAGGGAAGTAGGGAGGAGATTGGCGAGGTACTGACATTCATAATGGCACTATCACTGAACACGGCCAGTAAACTGTAAACAGGCAAATGTGGTGATTGTGTTGACAGCAACCTTGATAAAACAGCACTGGTTATTACTGAGTAGTTACCTCCATCCTATGTAAAAATTATGGACTTAATTATTCGAAGTATCTTTAAGGAACATTTGTACAGTTAGGACCTAGTCAGAAGGAGTCAGCATATTAATAGACGGAAGATTGTGCCTAACCAACCTCCTCCACTGAGGCAATGCAGGTTTTGACAAGGATAAGCTATTAGTCATTAACTGAAAGCTTTAAAAAAAAACCCCATGGACAGGGACTGTTTCATAGTTCAGTGATTCACAGGCAATGTGAATTTGAGTCTCACTGGGGCCTTTCAGGATGGGACCAGGCATCCTGCATCTAATCAGGAGCTTGTAGGTTCAACTTCTAGTAGGTTCAACTGGCTCAAGTGCACTTCAGAAGTTTAGGGGCCTTCTTGTGGTTCAGTGGTAGTGTCCCTTCTTCTGGGTTAAAAAACAGTTTCAAATCCCACAGGCTCCAGAAGTGTGTATTAACATCTCTGAACTGGTTGATTAGGAAAAATAGGTTAATTTTTTTTTAAATCAGTGGGGATTCAGGATTACCCATGGGAATGTTGAAGAAACTGGCTAAGAAATAACACAAAACAATGAGCATATTATGTCGGAGTGGAGTTGATTAGTACTGAACTGTGTGCCTTTGTATTTACTGACCTGGATTCCAAATCTCAACATGAAGTGGTCAAATTTACAGATGAACGAAAACTAGGAGGGGCAAAAGAATCAGAATAGGAATTTTAGAATGGGTTGGATAAAATATGTACATAGGAAGAACAATGGCAGATTGAATTTAATGAAGTAAACTTGAATTGTCAAGTGCTACACAGAAGAAGAATACCTAATACCAACTTTACAGGTGTGTAGAACTAGCTAAAGATTAATCTGAAAGCGAATTAAGTGACTTGGTACTTAGTGCTACCTAAGTCCAACTAAAGCAGAGCTGCAAAAAGCCAAACTAACAGGATTTTGAACCATACCATCAGCACAGTGGAAAGTATGTCAGAGCAGCTGATAGTCAATTGTTACATGGTGCAAGCTCTGGTCAACAAGGGATAAAGAAAACATTACAGCAACAGAGACACTGTCTCCTAGCATCAGTTAAAGACTGGAGAAACTTAGACATTTTTTTAAACTAAAAGGGTTCAGCTGGGAGTTGTTTAGGATTGTTCAGGGTTTATTGAGAGTTGGCCCAGAATATTATTTTATATTAAATGACAGGAAAACTAGTGTGACAGTTTCAAACTAGTGAAAATGAATTTTAGGACTGTATCAGAAAACTTGTCCTTGCTCAGATTGATCAACATGTAACTTTATCTTACCAACTGGATTTAAGGAAGGTGGAAACAGACAGCATCAGTCAACTGGCTTGTCTGTGTCTCACCTGATGGCTTAGGGATGAATCCAATATTTAATCAAACAGGGACCAGCCAGGAGAGTATGTGGGGTGCAGGAATTATTTAAAATACTCTCTCGCTAGGAAAAAAGAAAAACAGCTGGGAAACTATCTTAGGTCCCTGTTCCATGATGCCATTTGGCATGGACTGAATTGGGCTCAACAATGGTGCAGCCCATTGTTGAATAGCCTCTAAATGTCCAAATGGAATAGAGGAGGCAAATCTGGTATTTGTTAAACAGTATTTAGGATGGGTGAATGGCCTTCATTTGTAATTATATATCAGTTTTCAATTGTAAACTACTTTTAGCCAAACAATACAACAGAGAAAGCATTTAACCATGTGAAATGTCAGTTAGTGAAAAGTGATGCAAAGAATTGTTTATATGCTATTCAAAAACAGCTCTGGTAAGTATCTAGGTGTGGGATTAATACACCTGAGTTCCCCGTGCACTGATTTCTTAAAATGATCCATTTTACAGATGTAACTAACATTGTCTTCAAGTACACACACAACATTCTTCCAGTCACAAGTAAAAGAGCGAACTGTTGATCAGATAGTGTTTTATATATGGTATGTGTTGCTTGAATTTTTTCTAACCAATATAAATGTAGAGGCTATTCAAAAATGGGCTGCACCGTTGTTGAGCCCAATTCAGTCCATGCCAAATGGCATCATGGAACAGGGACCTAAGATAGTTTCCCAGCTGTTTTTCTTTTTTCCTAGCTAGAGAGTATTTTAAATAATTCTTGCACCCCACATACTCTCCTGGCTGGTCTCTGTTTGACTAAATATTGGATTCATCCCTAAGCCATCAGGTGAGACACAGACAAACCAGCTGACTGATGCTAAGATAACAAGGTGTAGAGCTGGATGAACACAGCAGGCCAAGCAGCATCAGAGAAGCAGGAAAGCTGATGTTTCGGGCCTAGACCCTTCTTCAGAAAATATGTCTTTTTCCACCTTCCTTAACTCCAGTTGGTAAGAGAAAGTTACATGCTGAACAGAAAGGTAAGTAACTCAGTGTACTGTCATTGCAACATTATAACACTAAGTATGATTTTTAAGTTCCCTGCAGTGAGCTGCACTCCTGAATGCTCAGATTCTAGTAATAAGATATAAATTACTACCTGTCCCTCACAACTACCCAGATCCAACAGTGTCCTTTCCATAATGTGTCTGCCTGTGGATGTTTTTTTAAAAAAAAACAAGCAAACAACAGATGATAATTTTTTAAAACAGAGTTGCAGTGGTGACATTGAACTACTAGTGTCCTTGTGAGAAGGGACCACGCACATCACTCACCCTGCCATCCTCATGAGTATGTTGTCCCTTACATTTATCACAGAGCAGTGGCAGCATCAACATCTACAATTTATACTGCAACAGAATGCCTGCGATGTCACCGAAAGTGAGTTTGGTTCAGTTTCACTGAAGTTCACTTCTTTTCCTGGAAAGAACTAATGGGAAAATCACAATAAACTGAAGCCATCCAGAATACCTCCTCAGAAATGTTCACACAGAAAAATCAAAATCCCAACAGTGTAAGGAATTCAAGACAGGAGCCAGAGTTTTGAATAGGACTGTAAAGCCAGGTGTCTGACGTCATTCTGCCTCTCTCAGCAGATGTCACTCATTACTGCAGCCGGTCCATATCCAGATTACTCATCAGAAGGCCCACTGAATTATGATTTCTTGGATAAAACGGCGGAATCATTGTACTGAAACCAGCAAAAGCACTGGTAAAAAAAATTGCACAATCTTACATAACAAAAGTTTAATTTTAATTACTATGTCTCTAAATTAATGGTCATGCTCACCTGACCTCTGAGTTAATCCTAGACTTTATTTTTATTTCCAACAAAGTTTTTCCGTTTTTCTTTGAAGTTGTTAAACGTAGGAATAGAAAAACAATGAGAAGAGTTGTATTGTTTTGAGTTTTGATCCCTGGATCTTAAGGCTCAAGTTAAAATTCATTGGTAAATAGCATGGAGTTAGTTACCATCTCTATTTTTTCCTCCTGCTTTCCTGAAGTTGTTGGCTCCTGCTTGGAACTTTCTTTCATGTTTGCTGTTAACATAGAAACCTAGAATATAGGAGAGGAGTTAGACTATTTGTTCCTCTGAGCCTTCTCCAACATTCAATATGATCATAGTTAATCACCCAACTCAGTATCCTGTTCCTGCTTTCACCCTGTATCCTTTGAACTCTTTAGCCCAAAGAAATATCTCCTTCTTGAAAATATTCAATGTCTTGGTGTCAGCTGCTTTCTGTGACAGCGAATTCCACAGGCTCACCACTCTTTGAGTGAAGAAATTTCTCCTCATTGCTCTTAGACTGTAACCCCTGGTTCAGGACTCCCTGGTCATTGAGAACATCCTTCCTTCTCTTAACCTGCTCAAGTGAGCATTTGATAATCGATGTAAGCAGCCTGTTGGATCATGAGCTTGGCATTATAATCAAGACTGATACTTTCCTCAGGTGAAATCAAGTATGAATAGATAAGAATTAATGGAAAGCTAGCCCTCTTGAGTCCAAGTTCACTCAGAGCAAATGTAATGTCCCCATCTGGTATCCTGGCAGATATTAGCTCAATATAAACCGATAAACCCAGGATACGTGATAGGAAGCAAAAAATATATGAGCTTTAAGTACATTACAGAGAAACGGTTTTGTATGTAGGCGGAAGTAAAATATTGCAGGTGCCAGAAACTTGAAATAATAGAAAATGCTAAAACATACTCAGCAAGGCTGTCAGCATCTCTGAATAGAGAAACAGAGTTAATGTTTCAGGTCTGTGACCTTTCATAAGGTTCCCTGTAGGTTAATTAATTAATGGAACAGTTAGAGTGAACATTCAGCAGGTGACAATAAGCTGTGGATTATGGGTAAAAAAGAGAGATAAGAATGATTAAAATAGTCTCAAGTGAGAACATCTATGAGGTAGAGAGAGAAAGCTACATGAAGTGATGTCACAAACTGAGAAATGGCATCATCTTAAAATGCTGAACAGCAAAATGAAAGAATGCATTCACCATTTGTATCTAGCAAACGTTTGAGCTTCTAAATGTGTCAGCATGATGTATCCTAGTTTTTAAACTGTTTCAGGAATTACCATTCTAATATTTATTTGGTTCCTGTAGGTGTTTATAATGAAGCCACCCCAAATTCCAATGCCAAATGTGAAGCCAGCACCACACTGCATTCAGCATACTGGCCCTGCCCATGCAAAGCAACATACAGGTACTGCTACACTGGGAGGTAACTGAAGGTGAGCACTACATAAACTATGTGTGGCCAGGGGCTGGTGAAGATGGCAGAAAATGAACTAAAACCTGGTAGCTGAAGAACCAGCTTATGTCCTTATGCTAGACGAAGTGTTAGATGCAGGTACAGTTACAACATTTCAAAGATATTTGGACAGGTACATGAATAAGAAAGATTTAGAGGGATATGGACAAATGCAGGCATGTGGGACTAGTTTAGTTTGGGAAACTTAGGTGGCATGGACAAGTTGGACCGAGGGTCTGTTTCTGTGTTGTATTATTCACGACTCTATGACTGTCCTAGCTGCACTGCCTTAGGAGCCAAATCTCACAGGGCCTCATTTGAAAAGAAGAATGTTATCTGGGTACCAACATTTTCTGCAGTTATTAGAGAATGTGTCCAGCACCACACAAGAGCTGAAGGCCATTATGAAAGAGTTCATTTGTTCCAGTCAGGATGGCTGCTTATCAAGACTGTACTAAAGGTGCATTAGGTGATATTCCAACCAAATGTAGACAAGTTCAAAGTGGCAGAAATCTTAAGACCAGTTGCAGTGAGTGGTCAGAGTGCAAAAGTGAGGGGGCATCAATCTCCACACTCTATCCTACGTGCTCTCAGGAAGTTGGGCAATCCAATCCACAGAGCAATTACTGCAGAGTTGCACTGTCTTCATTGCTGACTCGATGCCTGTTCAGAGATCAGGTGAGTGAGGATGTGTCCGGCAATAGAAACATGATTAGAGTGGAAACAGAATGGCTGTTGCACCTCAAGTGGCATTACATCTAACCCCATTAGGAGCCCTGCTCAAATGAAGGAGATGTGCTAGAAACTAAACAGCACCACACATCGAGTATAGGATTTGTAACAAAGTCAGATGTGGGATCAGGCGTAAATAATGAGAAGATCATTTTTCTTTATTCATCTGTGTGATGTGGGAGTTACTGGCTGGCCAGTATTTATTGCCATCCCTAGTTGCCCTTGGAAAGGTGATGGTGAGCTCCCTTCTTTGAACTGCTGCAGTCCACTTGCTGTGGGTTGATCCACAATGCCGTTAGAGAGGGGATTCCAGGATTTTGACACGTCACTGACAAATATGCGCAAAATAGACAATCAGTGCCAGCCATCTGAATTACTCTTGGAGTACCTAGAAGGAGCACTGCTATAGATTAACCATAACTAAACAGCCGAATCTCTGCAATAACAGAAAAAAATGCCACATGTATTAGTTATTGTATTATGCATACACAGAGAGAGAACTGCAGCTGCATCAGTTGAATGGAGCACCTGGGTAAAGGTATTGAAAGGAGACCCTGGCTCTTGCCACCTGCAAAAGTGATTCAGTTGGATTCTCTTCTGATTCTTCAATAACAATGATTTGCATTTATATAGCATCTTTAGTAGTCTAGACATCCTAAGGTGCCTCACAGAAACGTTATCAAACAAAGTTTGACACTAAGCCACATGAGAAGCTATCAGGATAGATTGCCAAAAGCTTGGTCAAAGGGCTAAGGTTGAATAAGCAATTTGTAAGGGACAGAGAGGTACAGGGAAAGAATTCAAGAGATTGGGACTTATGCAACTGAAGGCACTGCTGCCAATAGTGCAACAATGAAAATTGTAAACATGCAAGAGGTCAGAATTGGAAGATACCATGGAGAGTTATGGGTTTGGGGGAGTTCAAAGCAGTAGGGAGAGACAAGGTAATGAAAGAATTTGAAAACAAGGATGAAAATTTTAACATAGTAACATGAGCAGGTCAACTGTAAATGTATGTCAGTGAGCAGGTGGCAATGGGTGATTAGGATTTGGTTTGAGTTAGGTTACAGGCAGCAGAGTTTTGATTAAATTTAAGTAGAATGGAAGATGCATGACTAGCCAGGACAGCACTAGAACATTTGAATCTTGAAATAATAAAGGAATGGAAACAGTTTCATGAGCAGATGAGGGAGGAATAGAATCGGCTAATGTTATCGTGATGGAAATAAATGTTGTCTGCATTTTGTACTTTCCTCACCTGAAATGAAGCTTTCTTACCCCAGCTTGCTTCATCCTGATGTTTCTCTGGATGACAAAGTTGCTAAGATTATGACGCTTTTGAAGATTCGAGCCACACTGTTATAAAATGATCCCAATCGCTTCAGGCTGCTAAAGCATATTTGGTATTGCTCCTGGCACCTGCATGAGTTTCATTATGTCTTCATTCAGCTGATGGCTATCTCAATAGTGACAAGATATATGGAGCTGCAGATGGTGAACTTGATCACCTGGAAGCCAAACAGTCTTTCTTCCCAATCCAATAATCCTAACATTGTGCAGTGATTGAAAATGAATATATCATGACTGCTGCTTGAGCAACCTATGGACTCCGTCCCAACATCATTCTACTAATTAAACCAGGAACTTTGGAGAATTCAGTTGTCCTGAGAAATTTGCAGAGACCATTCATGGAAATGAAATTGTTACCTGCCCTATCTCTAGGGTGGTGCAAAACCCAAGGCACATTTGTCAAGAAGGACGTGTTCAAAATTGCTCAATATCTCCACAATCATAAACCAATTCTCATGAGATTATAGACTATAATTCCATGAATATCCTTGTGATAATGATGCCATGCCAACCCCAAACTAAACCTGAAACAAAATAAAAGGGCGCACATGCCTTATCCACCAATTCAAGAAAAAGTCATCTCCACCCTTTCTCTACTTTGTCTCAGGTGCTTATGATCCCAGAGTGAGGTCCTGTGGTGGTCCCCCCAATCTGCCCAATCCTAGGGATGGTTATTTCTGCCTGGTACATCTATGAGACGCAATGCTGTAGGTTAACCATAACTGACATTATCGATGCTTAGAACAAACTATTTCCACTGAAATCCAGAACTGATGACCATAACCATGATGGGTCGTGCCATTTCTGTGGTGGAGATTTGCTGAAATCAGATTTTATTAAACCTAGATTTCTCTTTCACTGGTGAATTATAGCCTTAGAAGCAGGTTTATTCTGACTTTCTCAGTAGGTATACCTCTTAGGTCAAGACAGATGCGGCAGTCCACATCTGGTTCATTCCAATCCACCTGTAGCCTTCATTTCAGAGAATCCCTCCAGTGTGGGAGCAGGCCATTTGGCCCATTGAGTCCACTGACCCTCTGAAGACCATCCCGCCCAGACCCATCCCTGTAACCCTGCATTTCCCATAGCCAATAACCTGCACATATTTGGACTTTGGGAGGAAACTGGAGCACCCGGAGGAAACACGAGAATGTGCAAACCCCACACAGACAGTCATCCGTGGGTGGAATGAAACCCGGTCCCTGGCGCTGTGAGGCAGCAGTGCTAACCACTGGGCCACCATTCATTCTCTTCTTCCCACTCTAAATATTGGAAGTTAGTGGAAAGCTCAAGGGGGGAATGTTCATTTTCAAAATTATTATTACACAACCGAAACCTTTCCTTCCTTTGTGAGGCAAAGATGTTTCTCTGTTTTTGAATGAGAGAGCTTTTACATATAATCTTCATTCTGTACAGCTCTCGTTTTCAAAAAGTAATGGAAAATTATGGATCAGGGTTGTATTATGCCATCCCCTGTTCCAAACCCCCACTCCACCCCACCACAACCACCAACCACCAACCTCAGTCGCGTATTGCTAGTATAATACTTTGTGAAAGGCAACAGGCAAGTAGATACTGTACCAATATGTACACTAGGCAACTGTTTTATTAATCGTGCCTCATGTCACCATCTCCTTTGTCTCCTTCCATTTAGTTTCTAGCAATGTTCCACTTGCACACATGCCTGCCATCCAATTACTAGCGTGCATCATTTTGATTTGACATCATGATGTATTAAAACTATGCTGCTGCTAAATTAAATGTTTTCATTGACAACATTCAACGTTGTGTAACCAAATGTCGTACCAATGACTGACATACCAACATTTTTATCAGAGATCAGCTGGGTGTACATTATGATAAAAGTGGTTTGAGGCCATTGTGAGCTGAATGGTGGCAGCCAGCTCTGAAGTGGCTTTGAATGGGATTTTGCTCAGAATCAGGTGCTTACACTTGTCACCTTATATTGCTATCTGAATGCAACAGCAAAAAAGTCATATAAGGTAGCAAAAGTCGGCTTGAATAGTAACTCTCTGGATTATCTTTTATGTTTTTCTCTTTGTTTTCTACAAAATTCCTCTTTGTTTATTTCCATCTTTTCCTAAACATCAAGATTCATACCGTGGGTGGAAGCCTCTTTCGCTATTATCGCCTAAGTTGTCATTCTTCATTGTGAACCTGGACAACAAGTGTCAGTGGGATATCCATCATGAGATGCATCACAGCTGACCCTGCCCTCACCTGAATGGAATTTCCATTAAGACTTTCAAGATAATCAGAATGACAATTAAGGCTATTCCCTCTACACATTGGCTCTGTGTTCATTGTTAGTTAGCTGTTTTTGCAGCACTGAGTTTCCTAGAAACAGATACATCTAACCATTTCTGTGATTTGTTTTATAAAATGCTGCATTGCGTTTTTACATTTAACCCTTAAATGTTCACCAGTTAAAGCCTGGAGGTCTATTGAATTCCGTTATAGTTTTTGAACACAGCAATACTATCATATCGCTAACATTCAGGATGGCACCACTTATTCAGATTTAATTACTGGTTAAATAAAAGCAAAGATATAATGCATGATGTTAAACATCACTGAAAAAAGCAATGAAACTAAAATCATAGCTCAAGAAGTTAACATCCAATTTGTGAAATGTGTATTTAATAAGCATCAGATCCTATAAATTAGATCTTTTGGATTAAACGATTATAGGGCTAATCTCTTGTACACTTTAAGGATGAGATTACACAGTTGACTTGAATTCCAGTTTACCCAAGTAGTTCAGTATCACAACCAGAACCAAAGCCTGATCTCTGACTTATGCCAATGGATGTATTTATGTTTCAGCCACTTGTTCTCAAATAAACAAGTTCGAAGTTTAAATGTTGCGAGGTAAGGTATTAATGGCTGGATATTTGCCATTTTCAATATGCAGTGCCCCTAGATGGAATTTTGCATAGATAATGGATTACCCTAATGGCTCAGTATTCAAAATGAATAGAGTTGTTCTACTCCATTGTCTGTCAATCTGCATACATTAACAATTCAAATAAACTGTTCCAGCTACTAGAACAACTTTGACTTAATTGGTTTCTCAATAAAACTACTCAATGTATTTCCACAGACAAAACATCATCTGTGGTCCTCCACATTGAATATGGGTGAAAAAATACATCTTTCATTATAACTTAATTATAAAATACATGAAGAACGAACATAAAAATCTCTGCATGTCACAATCATTGACGAGAACTTTGGATAATATTTTCCCTATTCTAGCTAAGGAACGTTGAGGTCAATCATAGCATCTACAACAATTCCAATTGAGATCCGTTAGCTCGGAACAGATAGTGAATTGAACCTGGGACCCTTCTCAAATATAGAGGTGAATTTCCCATTGCTTCAGACAGTGGGACTATCAAGGGAGATAGTAGGAACTGCAGATGCTGGAGAATCCGAGACAACAAGGTGCAGGGCTGGATGAACACAGCAGGCCAAGCAGCATCATAGGAGCAGAGAGGCTGACGTTTCGGGCCTAGACCCTTCATCAGAAAAGGGGGAGGGGAAGGGGGTTTTGAAATAAATAGGGAGAGAGTGGGAGGCGGATAGAAGAGGGATAGAGGAGAGGATAGGTGGAGAGGAAACAAACAGGTCGAAGAGGCGGGGATGGGGCCAGGAAAGGTGAGTGTAGGTAGGGAGTTAGGAAGGGGATAGGTCAGTCCAGGGAGGACGGACAGGTCAAGGGGGCGGGATGAGGTTGGTCGGTAGGAGATGGAGGTGCGGCTTGAGGTGGGAGGAGGGGATAGGTGGGAGGAAGAACAGGTTAGGGAGGCAGGGACGAGTTGGACTGGTTTTGGGATGCGGTGGGGGGAGGGGAGATTTTGAAACTTGTGAAATCCACATTGATACCATTGGGCTGCAGGGTTCCCAAGCGGAATATGAGTTGCTGTTCCTGCAACCTTCGGGTGGCATCGTTGTGGCACTGCAGGAGGCCCAGGATGGACATGTCGTCTGAGGAATGGGAGGGGGAGTTGAAATGGTTCGCGACTGGGAGGTGCAGTTGTTTGTTGCGAACCGAGCGTAGGTGTTCTGCAAAGCGGTCCCCGAGTCTCCGCTTGGTTTCCCCGATGTAGAGGAAGCCACACCGGGTACAGCGGATGCAGTATACCACATTGGCAGATGTGCAGGTGAACATCTGCTTGATGTGGAAAGTCTTCTTGGGGCCTGGGATGGGGGTGAGGGAGGAGGTATGGGGGCAGGTGTAGCACTTCCTGCGGTTGCAGGGAAAAGTGCCGGGTGTGGTGGAGCTGGAGGGGAGTGTGGAGCGGACAAGGGAGTCACGGAGAGAGTGGTCCCTCCGGAAAGCAGATAAGGGTGGGGAGGGAAAGATGTCTTTGGTGGTGGGGTCGGATTGCAGATGGCGGAAGTGTCGGAGGATGATGCGTTGGATCCGGAGGTTGGTGGGGTGGTACGTGAGGACGAGGGGGATTCTTTTTTGGTTCTTATTGCGTGGACGGGGTGTGAGGGATGAGGTGCGGGAGATGTGGGAGACACGGTTGAGGGCGTTCTCGACCACCGAGGAGGGGAAGTTACGGTCCTTGAAAAACGAGGACAACTGAGATGTACGGGAGTGGAATGCCTCATCCTGGGAGCAGATGCGGC